TCAGCAACGCCCAAAACCAGGGCAACTCGCTTGCGTAATGGTATGTTTTTATTTTGTTTGTCAATGGAGGTAGGGTCAGAAAAGTACCGGTGAGCATTTACCACCATCCATTTTTCGTTATCAGTCAGCAGCGCACGACTACGTTTTACACGAAAACTGTCCATTGAAATTTGATAAAATTTGTAAAAAAAAAATACGTTTATTTATGGTCTTTAACCCATGTGAAAATGGAATTGTTCGGTCTGTTACACGTGGTTTTGGTATTACGAAGATTTTTGTGACTCTTATTGGTGTACGAATCACTTTGCACCGGACCATAATACTTATACTATATTAAATTCAAAGTTTAAAATAAGATAAAAAACTTTAATTAATATAAAATATAATTTATTAGTATAAATAAAATTATTTGTAACAGAAATTCTAACATATAAATTAAAAGCTTTGTTTGTTCAAGTATATATCAAGATAAAAGATTTATAATAGTATGTAATTTGAAGATTTAAATAATATAAAAAAACTTTAATTAATACATTAGATCAGCTTTATTATATATTAGTAATAATAGCATTAAAATTTGTAAATAAATCAATAGCTTTACGTGTATTTATTTAAACTTAATTTTTTTAGAAACTGTCAAGTCAAAAGACTCTGAGTTTTCTATAGCTAATAGGTTAAAAGTTATGTATTTTTTATTTATTTTTTTTACTTTAATAAGTATATTCTGCGTTGAGATATAGGGTACGATCAAATTTTTTTAATTGATACATGTGTCGAGGTTACAGTGTACAGTGTTATTTTAAAAAGTAAAATTAGATTATTTTAGAATTAATAGAATATTGTATTATAACCGCTAAAAATTCAAATAATATATTAACACTTAATATATTTAAGGAAAAAGTTATCTGCCACACTTCCACATGCTCGAAATTCAATTTGTTAAAAGAAAGTTTCCTGTAAAAAAGAATAAATAATTTTACAGCTATTATAAACATTATAAAATGATTTTAAGAAAATTAAGTTCCATCTCAAATTTTCACCATGCAATTCAAAATCTCATAATTTTATATATATTCACACCACATAATATTCGTTATATCCTTGATATGTTTCTCAATTCATAGCCTGCTTTTGTAATATGGTGCATAACAAGTCATCAAACGTTTCTAAATGCAAATGTTTGATGAATTTAGATGTTATGCACCATAGTTCCTTTGCCTAAGCTGCTTTAAATTTCTCAAAAGTATTTGTTTCAAATTATAATTTTCTACTTTTTACGTACAAACTTTAAAATTCATCATTTTCATTTCCATCATAGAATTGTTGCATTTTCTAGAGATGACATGAGAATTGTAATCTGATATATGAGTGATCGAAGCATATTTTTCGGTTCATAAAAAAGTACAAAAGAAACTTATATTTGCCATTATCAGACTCTTATATGTAGGTTATGATTTCTCAGCTTAATCGAAAGACTTTTTATTAATGAATGAGAATATTTTATTCACTCGACTAAATATGAATTATATTTTTAAGAATTATAAATTATAAAAATATTTTAAAGATTGAGTATAAATTATTAAATCTAAATTCTATATTTTCAAAGTTTATAAATTATTAAATCTAAATTCTATATTTTCTAAGTTTATATATAAGGATTGTATAATGAAACTAAAACTAACATTGAGACTGAAAAATCTATTATCAATATAGTATTTAATTGTCAATGATTTTAGTTTTCTCAAATGATTTTATATTAAAGAATAGACACATTTATTACTAAACTTGCTAAGTCTACTAAACTATTAACCTTATCAGATTCAGAAATGATAAAAGCAGAAGTGTTGTCATTCTGTCATGCCTTTTTAAATAAGTATTTCACTATCGTCTTTGATTTGATTGTTATTAGTTCCTACGCTAAATGAAGAGTTATTCGCCTTGTTTCTTTGGGATTAATTATTAATGCAAGAAACAAGAACACCGTCAATATAAGCCTGTGGATTTATTTGCAGGTTGAAGTTGAGCATCATTATCGTTTTGAGATCTTTTACGAGGACTGCTCGTAACTTTTGAAAGTTGTGAAATTGGATCTGTAAAGCGTTTGACTTCGTCATTATTGTTAGCAAGAGACACTTTAAAATCTTGATTAATCGGAACAGCGATAGTTGAAGTTATTGAAGTCAACGCAAATAAAGCGAAAAGTGATTTGTTGATTTTCATGTTTCTCTATAAAAAGATATTCTATTTTTTTGACATTGAAGAAATGTAAAAGTACGTATCATCGGTTAATTACATGTAGTAAGTAATATTTATATTAATTCAAAACAAAAGCATGTACGTACGCACATGGACATGTATTATTCTATGCATAAAAATTTAACAATAATTTTTTAGTGTTCTAAAAAAGATGCGCATTGCATCATTTTAATATACAGTATGTACATGTACATGTAATTGAATGGCTGCAAATCATTTTCTCTATAACCGTTGAAAGTCATACGTACGTACGTATACAGTATGCATGTACATGTATTTTGTCATGTAAAAAATATTTTAATTAATTGAAGTGACTCCATGCTACAAATACTAATATCAATGTTAGCAGTAACAAAATTGTTTTTATGTTATAACGATAAGAGTGGGCATAAAAAAATGGATTTTAGAAAAAATAATAAATATATGCGTAAACACAAAGGAGCTGATAACGATAAGCAATGGCTGTAGTACTGAAATGCAAAGTATTCAATTCATTTCCCACTTAATGAACTGGTAGATATCGTAGATCGAGGTGATAAAGCCGTAAAGTTCTTTAGTAGTTAGTCTGTTTTTCCGGATAGGATCCCAACATTTCTCAATAATAAATTTGCACCATCCGGGAACAATATTTGATAACATAGGTCGTACTCCGTTCTAGATATCTAATACGAGATCATTATTATGACTTCGTTCATCCCAGAACTATAAATATCTGCATCTTTAGTGTGTGGTTTGCTACGTATTTAATACATCTGGACTCATAAGGAAATGCTCCGCTAATTTTTTGATCAGATTTTTTTATAACTGTCGGTTTGCTAAGCCCAAAATCAGAAATTTGAGCAAAATCATTCTATGCATTAAAATATTTCCAGGTATGCACGAATTTCTCGTTGTGAATTTTATTCAACCCTTCAATGAGATCAATCAAATTCTTAATTTCGTTTCCCAATCATATACAATATTTGCGTAAATCGCCATCTTTTGTATAGGTCATCACTATCGAGTATTCGATAATAGTGAATATAGTCATTTCTGCGCTTTAGAGCAGTCTGAATCTAATTTTGAAAAAGTTAAATATATTGAGAATTGAAAAATATAAACTCGGATGTAATTTTCTTGAAATGGTGTAATGATTTCAATACAATTTTGCGTGTGCCGTCGTTTAAGTTTGTTATCCAATTGTCCGTCCAACCAGGCAGGTCGCTTTTATAAATTGATCCGAAACCTCCTTTTACAAGCTATTTTTTTTATATTATTTTATTTAGTGGTAACTTTTCATTTTCTGGATTCCGACATTTTTCAATAATAAATTTGCATCATCCGGGAACTGTATTTGCTATCATAAGTCGTACTCCTTTGTAGATGTCGTATACACGATACATGTATATGTCATGACTTCGCTCACTAAATGGTTACAATCTTGTACGTAATCATCCCAAAACTATAAAGGTCTGCAGCTTTAGTGTATAGCTTTCCATTTAGCACTTCTGGACTCATATAAGGAAGAACTCCACAAATTTTGTGATAAGATTTTCTTATATTTGCTGGACGGTAAGTCCAAAATCGGCAATCCTGGTGTATTAATGTATTTCCAAGATGTAAGTCACGATGCATGAATCCTTTTTGTGAATTTTATTCAGCTCAGAGACAATATTTAAATATTCTAATTTTTCTTTCCAAGTCAATTTCTTGGCTTTGGATTTAATAAATTTGCGTAAATCTTTATCTTTTGCTTAATCCCTTACTATCGAATATTCGATGTTTAGATATTTCTTAATATTGAATATAACCATAATGCATTTAGAGCAATTTGAATCTATTTTGAAAAACTTAATTGTATTAGAAAGCAAAAAATCATCATGTCTACACTTAAGAAATTGTTTATTTTTACTTTATATAAATTGCTTTGATTTCAACACAACGTCGTTGTCATATCTTTCAGCTCATGATTCCACTTCTCGTAATAGTGCAACGATGCTTTATAAATTATTCCAAAACCTTCTTCTGCAAAATATTCAACATTGGTAAATTTTTCAAAAGGAATCCATTCAAAAGGTCTACCTTCACCAGTAATTTGGTCGCATTCATTCATTAGACTTTATTTCGCTAAGCCATTCATCTTTATAAATCCTCTACAGTACTCATTTTTTCTACAATTATGAGTTTTAGGTTTCATCTTTGAGTTCACTTTTTAATGATTGTATATTTGTTTGCTTCATATTTTATTTCTTATTTAGTATCTAAGTAAAATAGTTTATTTAATATAGACTTGCTTAAAGTCATTTATGATGTGTAGCATTTTGGCCATATTAATATAAAAGAACCAGTGTAACAACACTGCACTGGTTCGATAGTTTGCTTTACGATAATAATTTAATAACGATAACCTAACACGAATCAATCAATTGCACTAAGTTGATCAAAATAAAAATAATTTATTTTATTTGCATTTCGATTATTTGATGCATAAATCTTTTTTTGTCATAAACCTTTTTTTATCACAACCTATTGCATGAACGAGATTTGTGAAGTTATACCATAAAAAAAAGGAAATAATAAAATCAACGTTTGTGGTTATTTGATAATGAAAGAATGGAATCATGAAAATACATACTATTGATGTTGCAAAAAAAGGAAATTGGAAGGATACAAAAGCCAAGCAATAACGAATCTATATAATAATTTGCACTACCTTCAAACTAATGATACTTAATAATGAAACCTTTCGTCACGTCAATTTGACGAAACCCTTCATTACGACCATTTTGAAAATGTCTGACGAATGACGAAACCTTTCATTACGACCATTTTGAAACTGTCTGACGAATGACGAAACTTGTGACAAATGACGAAACCTATGATGAAACCTTCTGACCAACAAAATACTAATTCGTAACTCACAATGCCCGACGATGATGAAATGAATGAATGCACATCGATATTTAAATATCAATACATGTAATACATGCACATGTAATGGTACTACGAACCCTTTCGTCATCGCCACTTTGAAATGACAATTTTGGCAAACTAAATCATAAAAATAATAGGTCAAGTCAAGCTTTATCAATTTATTGGCATAATTTTTACCAGAGGTATATATTTAAACTTATACACTTTTCATAATGCTGGCCAAAATTTTGATCGTTCATGGCCTTCAGCCAATCAAATACATGTACTAGATTTCTAATCGTAATGATGCAACATTCTTTTAAAACTTGGAATAGGATTTGTACATGCGATTTAAGTATTGATAGGTCTTGTCATTATCGTACAACTGCCCAGTAAGCGTCTCCTAATATTTTACTTCTCGAACAAAATTTACAGTTATTTTATTCAATCAGAAATCACTGGTAAATCACTTTTTGTCCCAATTAAATAATCAGGTGAATCTCCATTTTATAATTATGAACCTGTTACTCCTCATGAGGAAGAATTTTGAAATTAACATTCTGACATGCAAATTGTTCTTAAATTGTCAGATAATACTAACAAAATTATATTCATGTCAGGATCATTCTCTAAGTACATAAGTGTTCAAGAAAATGAAATTGGCTAAGCAATTATGTAATGTTTAACACACAAGATGTGCTAATATTTAACAATGGTAAACTTATGATGGGGGAATTAACAAAGGTTACAATAAATTTCTACATCTCTGCAAATCACCAGACAGACTAACTAGTCTATGAGATATCAATACAGGATATATTAATAAAAAGTCATACTTGCAGATTTTTATATCTTCGCAATTACCAAATAGACTAGTTTATAGAAGATATATTAATAAAAAAGTCATATTTGCAGATGATTAAAAAGATTAAATATGACCATGTTTATCATGACAAAAAAGTATATTATAATCAGGTTATCTGGTATTGGAAGGACACACTTTTCACTATATTAGCTTTCTATATTCTGTATTCTTCATATTATACAAAACGTGAGTGTGATGAAAATTCTTGATTTACAACTTGAATTCCCACAAGATAGCTTTTATATTGCTGATTCTGTAACTTCTGCCCATGAAAATGAAAATCACATTTATAGTTATGATATCAAAGTGGTCAATGGCATGGATTTATAAAGAAACATGTTAAGAAATATTATGCACCCATTTGGACAGAGAAAGAAATTTGGAATATAAAATATAAGAATAAGATTTCTGAGAAATGAGTCAAAGAGTTGATTATGCAATGGAAATATATACCATGACAAGTTTTTAATAAATATAATGATGAACTGAAAGTTGATATAGTTATGTTTATGCTTACCTTAAAAATGATGCGAAAAGCTTAAGTGACAACTATTCGAGAAAAGCCATACTTATTATTCCTAACTCTGATTTTACAGATAAAAAATATGCTACTATAAAGTAAAATAAAAGACATAATTGTTAACACATATTGAATGGATGAGGAATAATATAATTCATTATGTTCTGATCAATTTATCAGACTTTAATTAGATAGCCTGTTGAATACAATATTATTTTAATAGTTTTAACTATAAAAAGACGAATTTAGTAAAAGTATGAAGAAACAGGTCACATTATACTAAATTTTACTAAATTACATAAACAAAAATGTGATGCATACATCAGAAGGCATTAACGTTAATTTCAAAGCACATATAATTGCCACGCTATTCCAAATGTTTTTATTAAGGTCAAATTAAATTATTTCAGCAGCTGAATTTTCACCGACATTACATTTTCTCTTCATCTAAATCTCGCTGAATACATAACATGCTGAATAGACAAAAAGTACATTTATATACCTGATACATTTGAATTATTCATGTATGTGAGAAACGTGCTTTATAAAAAATATAAGTGAATGTTGTACATTTGATCTGCTATTTTATTTTCAAAAGCTGATACTTTATGAAACATCAAGGATCAGGACTTGTTTTATGCTTTGTATTGTGAAAGTTTCAGGTTGTTAAAATGAACTAATGGTGTGACATTTATTACCCAATTTTACCATGGATATATCACGTCTTATGTGATTGGCTAATTGTTACAACTAGCCACAATCACACCATGGATACATGGGGACCACACTAATTAAAAATCATTACGTGATAAATGGTACACCCCTTAGAAGGGTCCTTTTGCCCCTACTACATGTATATATACGTACATATACATATGTATCAATACGAACAATATATCGATACGAACAATATATCGATACGAACAATAAGCGTTTTAGCATTTATTATGAGTACGTATACGTATTCTTTCAAAATTTACGTGATGACGTTAAGATTTATTTGTACATCACTTCCAGCAGGTACGTATTAGGTACATACGTGTACATGTATTTGCTTCTGCTATCAACCATTTTTGGGTTTATGTACATGTATCATGTACATGTATCGACATATACATATCGTTACTCTATAGTTCGACCAAAAATACCAAGGCAATACGTAAACTACATTGTAACTTAAAATATTTTGATAGTTAGCTGGTTTCAAAAAGCCATCGGAATTGATAAAAGAGACTCTTTCTAGCGCTATTAATACATAAGCTATTAAGTAAAAATTGCCTTTTTCACCGAAAACGTCAGGATGATTTCTCTTACACAAATAATTACAAGGATAGCGCGTTCTTTTTATATCAATACGTATCGGTATCCATTTACATGTATTTATGTATCTCTTATTTGAATCTTGCTGGTCTGTTTAATATACAGATTTGCTTTGATCATCTAAGTGAATCAAAACTAAAAATAGCGAAAATTTTAAAATAAAAAAAGAACTCGCAGCATTTTTAATTTTTGATATTTACGTAGTATGTTCTTAAGAAGTTAGAAACAAAAAATGGTGCATGTAGTCTATATTTTGCCCCTTATTTTCAGGTTGTAAAAGATGCAATCGAAAAATTAGTGCGATATTTATAACATAATTTCAATGATTCTGCTTTTCATTCCATTGGTCTAAAATAAACAATGTTTATTATTAACGTTAACACTAACGTTAATGAAAAACAAACCAACTCATGCTTCAACATTATTTTCACACGTACCATCCTTTATTTGTTGTTATGAGTCGTCATTTTGTTGTTATGAGTCGTCTTGATAATTAAATTATTATTAATCATAAACTCACATCCACTCCAAAAACAATGTGCACAGTAAAATCAATTACATCTACATGTATATATATATGTATGTACATATTAGAACATGTATTGGTATTGACTATTTTTAAATGTAGAACACCGCCACCCCATTATTACCAATAAATATAGAGATTGTACCACTAAAAAAACCAACATTTCTGGCCAAAAATAGATCAACGAATATATATATAAGGTTTCTATTTTTGTACATGTAATTAGATCAATATCAAACAGGCAAAGCTCGCCCTTCTGTTTACATATAATTGAGGCTTGATCTCAACTTTTTTCTTCGGAAAAGCGAATTAACTCTTAGATTTTTTTATCTTCACACTCCTAAATTTGTGTGCGCACACACTCGAGCTTTCAAACTCTTTAAACTTGAGTGATTCCATAAAAATGCCTTCAACGTTAAGCCAGATCAATATCAACAGTAGCAGCAATACTGTGGTCATTGACAATAATAACAATGATTACATAAAGCCCAAAAAAAAGCGAAATATTTTTCAGAAAAGTGGATCGAAAATTTGTCGTCTGTTTAATTGCAAGGGGAAAAAAACTACAAGCAAAAATAATATCTCACACAAAAGACAAAGATCGGTTCCGATGACACAAACAACAACTGAAACAACTGTTGTTTCATATCAAGAACGTCAATCACAATCAATAACAGCTCAAATTCCTGTTAATAATATCAATGACATTAACGTTATCATTTCTAATGCTGATAGTGTTACTAATAAAAACTCTATCATTTCTAATGCTGGTAGTGAAACCAACAACCCTATTGTTAATAATAATAAAAAATCTAAAGCTGATAGTGTTAATTATTCTGATAATAATAACAAATTCTTCGATAACCTAAACATAATCCAACACACTCATAGAATATTAGACGAAACAATAACTTCTATTAACAACAATAACATTATAACCACCGACAACTCAAACTCCACCGCTGCTGAGTATCAATTGACAGCCTACGACATTGCATGGGTTGCAATGATCCCAACTTCCAGGTACAAACAAACAAAAGATCCCAGAGATTTCATGTTGGCATTCCCTGAATGTTTTCGATGGCTGTTGAATTATCAGGATTCAAAAGGAAGTTGGGGAAAGATCGGCGTGAAGAGTATCGTTCCTTCTTTATCGGTGCTTTTGTCTCTTAGATTTTTTAAGGCTCGTGCTGGTGAATATTTCCAAGCGAAATTGGAAGATATCGGAATTACAATTGTATGTTGATGGACATTCTATCGCTATTTATTATCGTATCGTTATTTATTATCGTATCGTTATACTAAAATTTATTTCTATTTAAAGAATCATTTTCAGCAAATGGTCACAAAAGGTGAAGCATTTCTTCGTAAAACGTAAGTTTTTATTTGTCTAAATAAACTTTGCACGTACATACAAATTTTATCTGACATTTTTTTTGTTATTGCTATTATCAACAGTCTAAAAAATTGGAATATCGACAGCAACCAATCAACCACTCCACACGAAAAAATGATCTTATATTATCTTGAAGAACTTGAAAAATTCAATCCATCCAACCCTTTTGATTTCCCATCAAGACAAAAACTAAGAAACAATAACATTATCAGCAGGACACCACATACCCGTCACTCAGCATTACTTAACTTGACTAATAATTATGTCCCAGTAGAGACATTAATTAGTATAACGATGGTAACCGACTCTCACTCTCTTGCTTCAGACTTCACTATCCTCCATAATAATTATCGGACATCGCCGGCAGCTACCGCTTCTTATTTGATTTTAGCTCCGCATTGGGATCGGGAAGCATTCGGGTTACTTCAGAACATGATTAACAATTGGAAAACGGTTCTTGCAACATCTGGTCAAACAAACAACATCACGACCACCACATCATCATTTCCCCATTATGATTTCGAATCTTGTTTGGTGATTGAATGCCTCGGTGATCTAGTTGACACGATTGAAAGTGTATCACCAAATGACAATAATCTCTCGTCATTACATTTGAAATTCGAAGACATTGTGAAATATTTAAGAGAGCAACTCGAAGAACAAGATGGCATTATTTTGACAGCGATTCCTCTTAATAACAATAAATCTTTATATAAAATCAATTACACCGCACTCGCATTACGCTTGATTACACAATTTGATCCGCTAAATCGCATAGACATCGAATCGTTTATCCAATCGTTTTGGAATGGAAAATACTTTAATCACTTACCAAACGACGAACAAAAAGTCACATCAACTGTATTCAATGTCCACGCGTTAGAAGTTTTATTAATAGAGCGTGAAAAGTTGAAAAACCGAAAACAATACAGAATCTCCTTTGAAGTGGAGACAGCCCTCGGGAAATACACAAGCTTCAACCTCGATTATATAATTACCAGCACAATAACGTTCATCCAATCACAACGCGCCAAAAACTTTCTTTGGTTAGATGATGCGCCACACAATTCGCCGTGGTACACTACAATGCAAACCATAAAAACACTATTGTCACTTGTCGAGCACCCACGAGTTCTTGTCTCGACTTCTTTCAAGAACAAACCTTCGCTTATGGCATATTGTCGATCAACAATTGATCACGCACTCGCCACACAGCATCCAGACGGCAGCTGGGGGACAACTTCCTCGTATGACGCGCTAGGAAATCTAGAAGAAACAAGTTACGTCATACAATTATTGAAAATCGCGAATGAATATGGGGCTTCGGATCATGCATTAATGGACGCGCTTGCAAAAGGATGTGATTATCTTTTTCGGCATTTTGATTCTGCAATGAATGATCCTAATTATTTTTATAATTTTGAGCCACCGCTTTGGGGAAATCATATCACTCAAAGATTGGTTCGTGCGTTGATACTTTGTGCACTTAAGGATCCTTCTTCAAAGAATAATGATGATGACATTGGTGGTTATTAGTTGGCTTTTTGGTTCTTTATTTCGATTGTAAATAGCTGTTTGTTTTTTAGTTTTTAAATTTTTATGATAATTAAATAGATTTTACATGAATTTTATAACTTTTTATTAATGTAAATAATTTCTTAGTTGTATTAGATAAGTATTGTACATGTAGTACTCGAAATAAATGTCGTTATACTGCTTCTATAAATCTCCTAATCGAGAGAATTCCATTATATATTAAACTGGTGTTTATGGTTGGATATTTACGTTTAGCACAAACTTTGATTACCTGAATGTATCCATTGCTTGAATGAGACTCGACAGCCCCAACGAATTTTGACTTGCCTACAAACTATACAGACGGTGATCTTATCCGGATCTTGGAAATCTCGAACGTGAAGATTCGTCAAACAGCCCATAACGATAAGTGCTAATTAAGAAAACTGAAATAGTGGATTTTTCGTTTTCCTTATCCAATAACTGGATAATGCTTTGGATTTCTTTAATAATCTTTCTAGAACTTCACGATTATCAATTTAATGGAAATCCAGCGATAGAACAACCATTCCATTTCAAGAAAAATAGAAAAGCTGATCAGTTTTTCTTTTATCGTCATTAGAGAGCATTAGTCTGACTCATCAAAAAAATCTTCCAGTTTTGGATTAAACCTTCACATTAACTGTGATACATGTAACGGTAATACGTATAATCAACTCTAAATTTCTAGCTTAACATCTGCATAACATCAATACTGTGCCATAATACCAATTTTGAATTGTAGATCTTATATATAATCAAACTGACCAATTCGTAGTTTTTTTATATTATCTTTCCTTTTAAGATATAACAATAACACTTGATATGATGCCATCTAAACTGCTGTCCCTGCTGTATTACGTTCATCTATAAATAGATAACAATTTATACATGTATTTATGTACATGTTAACAAAGAAAAATGACTGTCAACTTGAAGACAACGCTAAAACAAGAAAGATTCCCGATATCGATATCGATCGGAATTTGTTAGTTACATGTACATTAGATGTGCTATTTTTAGTTCATCTTGCAACTTAGCAATTTGATACAAAACTGAATCATGAAATAGAAAATTTAGACATTTAATTATTCTATAGTCTTTAACACATCTTAAAAGGCCAGATTTTAGTATTATGACAGTTTACTGCAACAACTGAAGAACTGAACTTAGCTAAGGAAGAATTTTCGGGTAATCATTTTTCATATAAAGAAGAAAGAATCTAATTATAAAAATCAGTACGATTTTTAAATGCTTCACGAGGTCATTTTAGACGAAATCTTCAAAAGGCTCATGGAAATTATATTTGTCAAGCAGTTACCGAGTTAGCAAATACTTTTGAAACTCAATTCAAATTTCTATGCTTATAATTTTCAAGATGTAATTTAAATATCTATTTGTCTTATTCAGGTGCAAATTTCAAAGCTATTATATATATGACGCTTATTTAGCAAGGACACGAGTTTAATTGATTACCCTTTACCTTTGAAAGTTGTATCAGTAACAGAGTTTGTCATTTACGATTAGGAACAACACGAATAACAGATCAATTTTCAGACTATTTTAGATAATCGAAAAGACGAACTGGAATTGACAAAGAGTTGATTTAACACAAACATTTAGCTAAAACATTAAAACACATAGCTTTTATTTCTTAAATTTATTTAGCTAACTTACCGTTATACGTAGTTTTGTTATTTTTATTATATACACAACGATAATGAAATAAACCATGTACATGTACGATACGTAATGATAAACCATAAATAGCATACATGCAGATCTTTCGCAACATGACAATAAATTATGTATCTGGTGTTTAATTGGCGGACAATACATATAACGATAAACTTTTGATACACACGCGTAATCCTTTTTTCGCAACGCAACTTTGTTCATTTTTCACGAATATATTGTGACTTTTAAATACAGTACCATACACGCCATGTATAAGGAGTTACTGCGTCAATTAAGTTATAAATAGCCTACTAACCCACAAACTTGTTTCAAAAAGAATAAGAAAATTTATTTCTTAATATCGATATAACACCATGCATAATTCAAAAATTTCCTTTATTGCTATAATTATTCTATCCTTTATTCGCGACATTTTCAGGATTGAGTGGTTTTACGACCGTTTATGAAACTGGTTGAGATCTTACAAAACGAACAATTATCGATTAAATTTTTATCATGAGAGGATTTATCTTTAATCATTTCTTGGTCTTTAAGTAAAACAAATTAATGTTTGAATAAATGAATTTTAGAGATATTTATAGTGTCAAATACCATATATTATTTTTTAATTCTCACAGAAACTAATATATCAGATTGAGTGTAATAATATATTTGCATACTTGCTGGGAAAACAAAATCTTAATAATAAAACCGAAAAGCGTTTTCACTTCAAAGTTGCCGATTAACCTTAGACCATATCGATATGAATATTCTCAATAAACCATTATTACTTGAACTCATGAATAACAATAACGATAAATTGTATTTCATAAAGTAAATAAAATTCTTAACTAGAATAATCCGATAGAATGATAGAATAGGTCTTTCTTGATCATTCTATCGGATTACTTCTAGTTAAGAATTTTATTTACTTTATAAAGTGCAACTGCATTATACATGTACAATGTACGTAACATACGTAAATGAATTAATAATGCTAACATTATACATGTATGAGTCGCGAACCGAAACCACATCTAATCAACTATAGGCACAAAACAAAAAATATTCAATTATAAAGAAGCATTGCCAAGAAATAAAAAAATAAAATAAAAAGATATTACCAATAGAATAACATTTCTTATATTACACATTTGTATTACAGTATTTCAATAATGAATAAATTAGATATTCTCACAGTACGTACTAACAATTGATATCATTTCAACCAAACGGTCAGTTTAACGTCATCCAGTGATTGAGTTCTAACAAAATTGCAACCATTCGATTTGTCTCAACAGGGCGACTCGAATGGTTGAAATTTTGTTAGAATTTGACCATTGAATATCGAGATATCGCGTTTAAATTGACCGAATATTTTTTGAATGTCCTACAGGTTCCGAATTTCTGATGACCTATAAAGTGAGCATCCTATCTGCTGGTATAAAAAAATGAAAATACAGTACTTTCAAGAAAACATTTGTTTGTCAAAACCAAACATACGCTATTTCTGAGCAAGGAAAAAGTTATAAAGAAAATTACCGTATATATCCGAAAATAAGCTACCCCCATTGTTCAAGTCTTAAAATCATGCATATATATAAGCTTAAGTTTTCAAGTTTAAATTATGCAAAAAAAGATAGCTTATTTTCGGAGATATACGATATGTGGATTCAGTAGAAAAAAATTAGCACAGCAAGTTTATTTTAGAGTCCAAAAGGAAGTTTATCATATTCTGCCATGAATAAGTACCACCCTATTTCAATTTTTGTTAGTTTGTTATTTTGATACAGTCAAACCCCTCTATAGTCACCATTCTTGGGAAAGCAAAATTTGGTAACTATAGAGGATGTGACTATAGAGAGATTTTTTTACTATGTTTATATATAAATAGAAAAGCAAAATAGGGTGACTATAGAGGGGCATGACTATAGAGAGGTTTGACTGTATTTCTCATTCATGAGAAGAATAAAGTGAAAGAGTCTTTGTTATTATTATTACTAATTATATTGTCTTAGCTCTGAAAAGCTTTATACAAGTATAGAGAATTAGCCTTTCAAACACTCTTTATTATTTATTCTTTTATTTTTTTATACTTTCACTCTCAGCTTTTTGATCTTTACTCTCCCACAACTCTTTTGTATTATTATTATATGTTTGAATTATCATAATTTCTGTAGAAATTAGTATAGAACTTAGATACACCTCTTTTTTTAATATTTCTTTATCAGTTTAATACTTTCTCCCAATTCAGGTTCAAGTTTATAAGTAAATTTAATAATTGATGTTACTGTAGTAACATAAATTTCTCTAATTCAATAATCTTTCTTTGATTATACGAAATTTCTTTTTTCTTAATTTTTATAATTTATCACCTGATTATTATTATTTTTATCCAATCATATAATTATCTCACTTTTATTTT